GAGGAACAATGCCCCTTCTTAATGCCCTGTTGGAAGATGTGGAGATGGCAACATATCGGGTGGAGGAGAAGATATCATTCTTTAAAAAAATGTTATTTTAATCATTTTTTAACGTATAAGTTGTGTGTTGACCATTTCCTAACAAAAATGAGTGTGATGTAAAAAATGACATGGCGTGTGATGTGGCTAAAAAATAGAACAAATTAATGAAATCATCCATGTGGTATGTCAAAATTATGTGTTTGGTCCTTCATTTTTTTTTGCACTCGGAAAGTCGCTATAGTTTATTTTTATTGCATCTTTGGTCCCTGCTGCATATAAAAAGACTAATTTTCCCATACCGATTTCTTTTTTGATTTAAAACTATTTATAAAATACAAAATCCTGTTGGTCCCATTCCTACCCCATCCTTCTTAATCTTAGGTCCTGTTTGATAGTTGCTGACGGGGAAAATGCTGACTGAGAAAGGTTTGTCTGAGTAATAAGTTCTGACTGAGTAAGAAACTATTCTGTTTGATTGTACATCTGAATGTGCTGACTGATGCAAAATGACCAGTTTACCCTGACGCTCTAGTGTGATGGATAATAATAATAATAATAATAATAATAGTGATAATAATAAAAGTAAGAATAATAATAATAATAATAATAATAATAATAATAATAATAATAAAAGTAATAATAATAATAATAATAATAATAATAATAACAATAATTGATTATAAAAGTTCAGGGTCCAACTAGTAATTTCCAGAAATTAGTTATGCAAGACAATTTAAAGTTGTGGTAGATTCGGCCAAGATGAGTATATTCAAGGACCAAAACTGCCTAATTCCAATTCTTTTTGTTGTGTGCCTGTGTTCTAGTATCTTTTTCCCTTTCTAGGGATTAAATTGATAGTTGAGGAAGGAGGATGAGGGTGGTGTAGGGGAAATGGTGGAATGAATTTCAATCAGATTCAACCAAGAATTTTTTTGGGTATGAGCGAGTCAGACATTGTTGACCCATTTAGATGTAAAGCTGAGACATATCAAAAACATGGAGCTGACCGAGTCAGACAATTTTGTCTGACCCAGTCAGATTCAAATCAAACATGGCCTTATTCTCCCCCATTACCCTCTTTCCATATTCCCCACGAGCTATCTATCTTCCCCTGTTCAAGAATTCCCGCCGACGTCATCTTTTTCGACGCCGAACCATGTAAGCTCTCTCTCTCTCTCTCTCTCTCTCTCTCTCTCTCTCTCTCTCTCTCTCTCTCTCTCTCTCTCTCTCTCTCTCTCTTGTTGGGGAACCACTGCCGACATAAGTTCTCTGGTTCATGAAAACATTTTTCGTGGGTTTATCTTCTCCAGCGACAAAGATAATACCCACTCTACCGAAAGCCTTCTTCAGAAAAACCACAAACCACCACAATCAGAGAAACACTATCGTCTTTTGGTTTCTTTTTGTTTCAGGTCGAGCAAGTTCTCATCACCATTGAGTTTCAATATCATAACGGTTCGCATGTTAAGCATCTTAAATGGAGTTGCAGATCTGTCCAATGAGCTCTAGCCCCCGCCTCATGTTCTTTGTTAGGGAGATGCAAATCAGACCAACAGTTCCTGGTTAGTTTTTTTTCCGGCCGAGTTTTTTTTCCGGCCGAGAGAGAGGTCAATAACCCAATATAGATTAGATTGTGTTTGATTTTGGTTGATTGTAATTTTAGTTTTAGGTGAGATTTTTGATTTAGTTAATGTATTATTTTAGTTGCAGGTTTTGATTTGGGTTTGTTTGCAGGTTTTAATTTAGTTTTGGTTTCATTTGACTTAGTTGTCGGAGGTTATTGGTCTCGGTGCCGGAGTGGAGTGATTGGTGGCTGCCGAAGTGGTCTAATGGTGGTCATCGGAGGATGGAGGTGATAGGGATGGGCAGTGACCAGATCTTTTAACAGGCAATGGATAAATAGTGAGGGTGAGGGGTGTGGCATGTGGTGGCTAGCGGTCACCGATGGTAGGTGGTAGCTGGTGACTGATGGTGGGTGGTGATCGGTGATTTGGTGGTGGGCGGTGGTGGAGTCGTTGGGTGGAAGTGCAAGTGGGTCCCACTAGTCAATCGATCAATTAATTCATTTTCTTTAATTAAAAAAAATTGAAAAAGAAAATGTTAAGGGCCTTATAGTCATTTTCTATTAGGCAGAGACTTACAACGTAACAAAATCAAAACTTGGGGACCGTCCGAGTGCAAAAAGAAAGATAGGGACTAAACACAAAATTTTGACAAACCACAGGGACTATTTCAATAATTTGTTCTAAAAATAATATGGAGAGTTCGACTCATACCCATCGTCCTTACGGTTATCACTTTAACACCGATAACATATATCCATCAAATCCTTATATAATTACCATTTTATCCTTATATAATCACATTCTATGAGGCCTCGCCAACGATTTATTGGTTTTTATTAAAAAAATATTAGGAAATTATGCTAGATTTGTCCTTTTTCTCTTGTAAAAAAACTTGGGAAATTGTCAGAAAAGTCTCAATATTTTAAGAAAAGTTTCACTTTAGTCCTAAATTTTATTTTTTGAACAGATTAGTCCCGATTATTTGATTTTACATGATAATATATCAATTTCTAGTTAAAAGAAAAAAAAGATTTTTTTGTTAATTTGAGCCAAAATGAAATAATCGAGATTTTTCTGTTCAAAAATTAAAATTTAGGACTACAATGAAACTTTTCCGAAAAAATTAAGACTTTTCTGACAATTTCCCAAAAAAGCTTGGTCACTTTTGAGTAAAACCTAAAAGGGTTGTTTGGATTTAATTTAGAAAATAAAAGACAACTTTTGTTAAAAGTGTTTACTAACCTATTCGGTAGTATTTTTTTTTTTTAATATTTAGAGAAGTTTATTCATGGAAAGACGCTATAAACTGAGAAGTTTGACCTATTTATTATTTTTTGATATAATAGTTTATATTTATTTAATTATAATTATGTTTTTTTTAAACGACAAACTATTCTGCTCCTAACTATCACAACCTATGTCTCTCAAGTGAGACTTGAACCCATGACTTCTCAAATGAGAGTCACTCTTTACCGCTAAACCAAAGATCATTTGGTAATTATAATTATGTTTTTGACAAAAATATTTTCTTTTGGAGTATTGGGTCTGACTACATTAGAAGAGTTTTACTTTGGGCTCTCTATTCATTGCAAGGTTGTCAATCACATAAGATAAGATAGGGATTAAGAGGCAAGTGTTCTATTCTTTTAGCTTGGTTTAATGTATGTTGTCAAAACTAGTAAAACCTAGTCTCTAGAATGCATGTACATATGCATTTAGGTAAATCTTTTGATTATTCGGCTACATTTGATTGTGTACTTGATGCAAAAAATCCCCAATAATTTTTACCACTATGGTGAATCAGTTTTTTCCATTATGGTAAAAATAATGTGGATGCTTGACCTAGGAAATTGACGGGCATTTTAGATACAAATCATATAGCTTGTTATGCCACAACAATTTTGTAGTTTAATGATATTTTTAAAAAAATATTTATATTTTAATACTCACTTATGACATTATACATTTTTATTATAGCCTTTGTTGCTCATTTATATTTATGTCCACATTATACTTCTCAACGCATGGCTTTGTATTCCCTTTATATATGTATATTTGTACTATGGCATTTAAAAGGAAATTAGAATGATGCCATTAAGTAGTATAAAAATTTATACGGGTTACCTGAGTTTTTATGGGGTACAACTTCGAGTAACAAGAGCATAACTTGGATTGCATGGGACAAAATTATGAACTCCAAAGAGCTCGGTGGATTGGGAATTAGGAGTTTAAGAGCTCTCAACCTTATTCTTTTATCGAAATAGCGGTGGCGATTTAGGGACAATACGAACACGATTTGGAAAAATGTAATTAAATGTATTTACGATGATCAAAGAGGGTTGGGAGTGTTGATTTCTAGCCGTAACATGAACACCGTTTGGGAAAGAATCAACAATATTAATATCGACATGGAGCATCTTAATATGGATTTAATCAACCTCTTTTATAGGTATGGTGACATTGGAGAAAACTCGAATACGGGTAACTGGTGCTGGAGTCTAAATGGGGGAGGAGAGTTCAATGTCTCATTATTAAGGAGGGAAATAAACAAGTTATCGGAGAACACTAACTTACCCATCATCTGGTCCAAGATGGTTCCCAGGAAGATTAATGTCTTCACTTTGCGGGTGCGTCTTGGAAGATTGTCCACCATAGTCAACCTTGCTCGGAGGGGTGGGTAACATTTCCACCGCATGTCCGCTTTGCAATGCTTTCGAGGAAAACGAGGTTCATATTTTTAACAACTGCTCCACTGAAAAAGAGATATGTGGTCACCTTCTCAGTTGGTGTAAACATCTTTCCCGCTGTGAATGACTTATTCCACGATTTTTTGGGGTTAAACTCGTCTTTCCCGCTGTGAATGACTTATTCCACGATTTTTTGGGGTTAAACTCTTCCTTTACTGCAGCCACCACCAGGTCACGACTTCAAAGGCATTCTTGTGGATCACTTGGATGTATAGGTACGATCTAGTTTTCAAGGGCAAGGTGAAGAGACCAAATACTTTAGCTTATGGCTTAAGAGTAGAGCTAAATTGGGTAGGAATTTATTATGTGATGCATGGGCTAACAACCCCTTTTATTGTACCTTGTAATTCCAACCTTTTGCTGTTCATTTTAATAAAGTCTAGATGTTATAAAAAAAACATGAGTTTAAAGCATCTATTTGATCGGAACGAGTTTAATATGAGTAACAATAATGGATACAGCTGCTTAAGTACTATCACTCAAAGCTACCATTTGGGAGTAAAACCAACAAAGTGGCTGTAATGTCATAGAGATACCATAATGAGTTCAAGGTAAGGCTTTTCCAAAAGCAAAAAAGATGTTTACCTAGTGCAATTAAAAGTTGTACATTGTTAGATATTTCCTAACTTTAGTCCAGGAAACTAGCTAGCATTACATGAACCAAAAACAAAACACTTCTAAGCAGATACATATATAATATCTAAAGCCAAAGTTCTACACCTGCAAACAATACAAAGACATAAGCAATATTAAAAACTTAAAACTAAATACTTTGTGAACCCAACAAAGAAATCAGATTACCAAGGGTAGAAATCATATATAGTCGGAAGGATCATCATAATCATCATAATAGAAACCATCATCATAATGCTCGTAATCTCCCCACTGATTATTGGGGTCCACATAGACATGAAACCGAGGAAGAAACGTGCAGTTTTCAATCGAGTCACCAGGACACTTGAAATTTTTGATCCTTTCCTTGCAGAGTTTTACTTCATCCCCGAAAATATTAATGTTGTAACACGTACGAACATCTAGGGATTCAAGGTGAGGGCATCCATCAAGAATGGCTTGGAGTCCAGTGTTTGTCATCTTATTACCAAACACCTGCAGATGGCGTAACTCAGGCATGTTTTCTGCAATGGCAAGGGCATCATCGTCATTTGTAAGGCCTATCTCTATGCATTCTTTGTCCAACTTGAAGGACTTGAGTTGGGGGCAATTTGGTACAATAACTTCGCTGTAGTTTACCCTCCAAGACGTGTAAGAAATGTGAAGTTTCTCCAATTGTGGCACTCTTTCGAGCCCATGACTCAACCCGCTGCTTGTGATATTGTAGCAGTCCGTAAGGCAAAGACTGTTAAGTTTACTTGAGCTGTTCACAAGTCACCATTCAGAACCAAAAAATCAACAGACTTTAGTAATTTTTCCTAATACGAAGATTATAGTTGAAAGGTCGAATTAAGATCTACAACTGTTGGAAGTGGTGCGTATGAATTAAATTGAATAGATAGTTGGGAATTGGGAAGGGGAAAAAATTAACCTACCTTAGCAGAATGTAATCAAGGAGATCATCAGTGCCAAACCCCGAGAAACTGAAGTCGATCAATTCCCCACAACTTAGATGAACTGCCTTCTTAGTCAGCGCCTCAAGATCGTAATCCACATCCCGAGCATCAATCGGTGTGTGCATGTCGATGACTTTCCACATCGCCGGATCCTTGCAAATTTCCACCATGTTGTGCATACTTTCAGTGCACTGTTGAGTATTTCTACATCATCCAATCTCTGAAGTATATTTGCCATCAGTTCATGAGGCATTTCCAGCCAATTTGGAGATTCCTCCATTGCAGATAAGGGTTTTACGGTGGATGTCGACGCCATTTCCAATTAACAGACGTTTCGGTTTTATCCAAATAGTTTCTACATGAGATTATGAAAAGCGTGAATTACAAAAGCTTCCCCTAGACTCTTCTGTGTTCTGCAGAAGAAGTCCTTTTAGATAAAGAAATCGCAATGTTCCACTTATCGGTGATTATTTTAAGAGTAAACTTAATGTTACAAATATTTTATAAAAACTGTCGTTATTGATCGGTTAAAGACAAATATATGCACAATGGGAAGTGTTTTAAACAAAATATACTTTTTCACTTTTTATACAAATAACTACTAATTTTGTAACTAATTCACGGGAAAATCATTATCGTTCTATTTTCGAATTACAAATGAAGAGAAGTGGAATGAAAAAGGAAGGAAAGGGGAAAGAAAGGGATGAGAATCCTCTCAATTAGCCCACATTTGGACGGATAATTTCCAAGGAAAATGCATGTTTTTTTCATTCCCCATTCACATTTCACTTCCTTTTCTTCCTTAAGAAAAAACTCAAGAAAACATTTTCATCCTTTTCATTCCTTAGACTACACGGTGCATACCGCGGTAAGCTGCGGTATGCGATACACACCGTACCGAGGCATCAAAAAGAATGCGGTATGCGGGAAGTGAGTGGTGGTTTTGCCGCATGGTATTTCTTTTGACCGTTTGGAAACAAGCCGTTGCCTTTTTTTTACACTTTCCTATAAACTAAACTTTACTTTTCATTTTAAAATCACCAAACAACACAAAACTCTCTCTAGATTCTTCGTCGACTTCGTCCAATGCGTTGTCGTTGCAGGAAGCATAGTTTATGGGGGACGTCATCCGCACAACACTTGGTTATTTGCAAGAAAATGAAGGCGAAAGTTCGCATCAAAAAACAAGAAATCCTCCTCTACGAAGAGATAGTGAAGCCGGACGCAACCAATTGGTGAACGACTACATTTATGATGATGCAATGTTCGTGGAAAAATTCAGGCATCGATTCCGGATGTGTAAGGTATTTTTTTTACGCATTGTTGATGATATACAAAATTGTTTTCCATATTTTCAGCAGCGGGTTGATGGAAGAGATAAAAAAAGATTTCTCCACAATCCAAAAATGTATAGTTGGAATTCGTCAACTAACATTCGGTATGGGACCAAACTCATGGGATGAGTATTTGAGGATGTTAGAGTGCATGATGCGAGATTGTCTATACAAGTTTGATAATGTTGTGATTATCCTATATCACAGTCGCTATTTACGCAAGCCTACAATTAGCGACATCCGTCAACTATATACGACAAATGAAAACATGCATGGGTTCTTTGGAAGGATTGGTACTATTGATTGTATGGATTGGGAGTGGGCAATGTGCCCTTTGGAAATCATATGATGTGCCTTTTGTAGCAAATGGGATGTCATATAAGCGTGGGTATTACCTTAATAATGATATATCCAAACGATTCATGAAATTATTCACATGTCCAAACGATGACAAGAGATTAAAGTTTAAGTCAACACAAGAATCTGCTAAGAAGGATATAGAGCACACATTTGGTGTCCTAAAGAGATGTTGGCAGATACTTACAATACCGACATGATCTATGGATAATATGATTTTGGATGACGAGGGGAAGGCGATATTCCGCTACAATGAGAATGAGAATTTACCAAATGTCGAAGGAGTTGGTATTGATTTGGAGACGTAAATGGCTAACAGAGGGGAAGTATACGGCCAGCTTGGGAACCACAACCTTGGTGTTGATTTGGTAGAACACATCTTCAATGCTCGAACCAGTCCCGTTATCAAAGATTTTGTTGAAGACGACAAACATCAAATCATAATTGTTTGAAGGAGATTCGGACGAGAATTTTGATGACGTGCCGAGTGACGATGATACGAGAATTTTGATGACGTGCTGAGTGACGATGATTAGACGTCACATATTACTATACTATGTTTCAATTATGTTTTTATTTATTTTATTTATTTATTTAAATTTAATAAATATTTTGTTTAATCTTAATGAGGTATTTTCCTTTTATTATTTTTAAATTATTACATTTTATTCAATTAAAAAACAAAAGTGTGGTAACGTGTAGTATGACACCCACCAGTTTTGTGGGGTGTGGCGAAAAATGACGTGACAGTTAGAAAAGTGTGATGTGAAATTGGGTATTTTATATGGAATTTGGTTTTTATATGATCTTACTTGCAATGATGTATAATCATTCAAAACACCACAAGTCCACAACCACCTATATGCATCTCCTATAAACTCATCACAAGTCAATGATTCAAACGAACCACAAACCATCATGAATAAAAAAGTGCATATTTGTATGACACAGTCACGAAATTAAGCAATAATGGATGAAGCTGCTTTAGTGTTATCACTCAAAACTCATATGACCATTTGGGTGTAAAACCAAAATAGTGGCTGTAATGTGATAGAGATAGCATAATGAGTTCAAGGTAACGCTTTTCCAAAAGCTAAAAAGATGTTTACATGGTGCAATTTAGAAGTTGTACATTGTTAGAGATTTCACAACTTTGCCCATGCAGGAAACTGGCTAGCATTACATGAACCAAAAACATAACACTTCTAAGCAGATACATATATAATATCTCTAGCCAAAGTTCCACACCAGCAAACAACACAAAGACATAAGCAATAATAAAAACTTAAAACTAAATACTTTGTGAAGCCAACAAAGAATTCAGATTACGAACGGTAGAAATCATATAAAATCACAAGGATCGTCATAATCATCGTAATAGAAACCATCATCACAGTCATCATCAGAGTCCACATAGTCACGAATCCGAGGTAGAAACCCACAGTTTTCAACTGAGTCGCCAGGACCCTTGAAATTTTTGATCCGTTCCATGCAGAGTTTTACTTCATCCCCGAAATATTAATGTTGTAACACGTACGCACATCTAGGGATTCGAGGTGAGGGCATCCATCAAGAATGGCTTGGAGTCCAGTGTTTGTCATCTTATTACCAAACACCTGCAGTCTGCAGATGGCGTAACTTGGGCATGTTTTTTGCAATGGCAAGGGCATCATCGTCATTTGCTATGCCTACCTCAACCCATACTTTGTCCAACTTGAAGGACTTGAGTTGGGGGCAATTTGGTACGATAACTTCCATGTATTTTACCCACCAAGACGTGTAAGAAATTTGAAGTTTCTCCAATTGTGGTACTCTTTCGAGTGCACACCTCAGCCCACTGTTTGTGATATTGCAGCAGTCCGTAAGGCAAAAACTATTAAGTTTACTTGAGCTGTTCACAATTCACCATGATCAGAACCATAGAAAATCAGCAGTATTTAGTAATTATCATCCAACTTTTATTACTAATTACCCTAATTGGATGATGTACATAGCAAAATCATCCAAACACAAAACAACTTTTCCTAGTAGAATTTTCATAGTACAAAACTATAGTTGGGTAAGTTTTCTGAAACTGCGATGATATGTTAATAAGAAAAAACTGAAGTTTGTGTATCCATGTTCTAGTTACTAGACGTATGGAGCCTAATTAATAGTGTCTGCAATAAAGCATCAACCCATATAACTTTAAACCAAAACACTTCATCTACAAGAAACTACTTTTATTTGGGCTTGAAAGGCCGAATTAAGATCTACAACTGATGGTGGTGTTGTGTATGAAATTGAATAGAGAGATGGGAAGGGGAAGAAACCTACCGTAGCACAATGTAATCAAGGAGATCATCAGTGCCAAATCCTTTGATACTGATATCGATCAATTCCCCACAACTTAGATGGACTGCCTGCTTAATCAGCCTCTCTAGATGACAATCCCTTTCCAACTTATCAACCGGTTTGTGCATAACAATGACCTTCCACATCGCCAGATCCTTGCAAATTCTCCACCATGTTGTGCATACTTTCAGTGAAACGTTGAGTATTTCTACATCATCCAATCTCTGAAGTATATTTGCCATCAGTTCTTGAGGCATTTCCAGCCAATTTGGAGATTCCTCCATTGCAGACAAGGGCTCAAAGATGGATGTCGACGCCATTTCAAATACAAAATACGATGATTTTACCGATGTGCTTTTATATTTCCAATTAACCGACGTTTCGGTTATCCAAATATTTTCTAGATGAGATTATGAGAGGAGCAAATTAGAGCATATGGTATGGGCAACTTGAAGTGGTGTTATAACAAGAAGCAACAAGATGAGGGGGTGGTGTTTGTTCATGGTGTTATAACACCATGTTAAGAGGAGAGAGATAGAGAGAGATAATTTGGCAGCCAATAGGTGATCTCGTTTCTTCTTGTCATGGAGACAACAAGAAGCACCACAACAAGATGCAACAGGAGGGGGGGGGGGTGTTTTTGATATTACAACGACGTTATGGGCTGCCAACTCAGCCACAACAAGAAGCAACACGACCCACACCGTATGCTCTTACAAAAATTTCTCCTAGACTTTTCTTTGCTCTACAGACATAGTCCTTCCAGAAGGGGTTGGCTAAAAAGACACACCAATTTGCCATATAGACACCCTAATTAATTTTTGAAATATTTTTATTGGTTGAAATTGTATTGTTTTCCGAAAAAGCTGATTATAAGTAGTTAATTATTTGTTGATTTTTTATAAATATGCTAATAGGGTGTCTAAGGGGTGTTTTAATAGCAACACCCCTTCCAGAATTGTTTATAACTAGCAAAGAACTCGCGGCTACGCCGCTTTTGGGGGTAATATGGAGAAAATTGACAAACTTTAAAAAATATGTGCTGAAAGTATAAATCACCACAAATAGGAGAGAAAGTCGACAACCCCTAAAATTAGATGTCAAAAGTGTACAACAACCAAAATAATGGACACTGGTGGAGAAAATCCAAAAATGTTGTGGCAATAATATGGAAGTTGGGAAAATATGGTGGCAAAATTCTAAAGGAGGTTTTTTGTGTTTTTATGTCAAAATATAAAAGTTGTGACTACAATGTCGAAAAGTATCAAATTCATTAAAGATTTGTGGCAAAAACAAAAAAATATAAA